CATCATCTCCTCAGGCTTATGTTTGCGGTCTGCTTGCAGCCGATGAATGTTGGAGCAGAAACCATCCAGGACTCTGCCGTTATGGCCTCAGGTTGTGAACGAGGAACATGCTTAAACTGTGCCTTACAGCATCCCAGCGGCTCGCTGGGGAGCACGTGTGGGGCTGGGGGAGGGAAAGTGTTAATTTGAAAACTTCAGAACCAGTATTTGGTTTCAGCTCCACTCATGTTCACAGTTTCAATTCCCCACTGCTGGTAGCGATCTGTGTTTTACAAACATGCCTTGAAATATCTGCTTTTTTTACTGGTTCCTAGCAAAGACAGGAGTGAAGCCCTGAATGCTTCTCACTGATTCAGCAGCTATTTGCTGAATAAAGCCTGTCAGGGTGCAGCATGTGGAGGTAACATCATCCCCTGATAAAGGTCCACCACTGAGGGGAACCCTGTGAGGGATAATGTTGATCTTTAATTCTGGATATTATCTTTACACTGCAAAAATATTGAAATCTAAATCAGTATTTCTTTCTTAAAATCAGTGCATTTTTCTTGAAATGAGGTTAATGATCCACTTTGCCAATGGAACAAGCGGATATTATCGAATTATCCTATGAAATGAGTAAAAAAATTCATTCAATTGGTAAAACACCTCTTTTATCTACTCAAATTAAGCATAGATACAGTTAAGAAATGTTTACTTATTTCCTGATAGTTTTTGATATGTATATTAAAACGGTAACGGTGCCAGAGGGTGGGGTGGGGGGGGTCTACAGGAGGGCCGGTAATATAAAGGAGGAGCTGGCTCTGCTCCAGCATTGCTGACATGACTGCAGTAATGGTGTCAGAGGCAGCTGTCCAAGTGTCCCACCTTCAGTCATGGTGAGGGAGGGTCAGCAGACACAGAGGCAGCTTATGCAACTCTGCTGGTTAAAATGGCCTCACACCCTGGGTGTAACTGAGCTTTATGTACATAGCGTGCAAATTGGCTGCTGGGTGAGGTGTTTGCTTTACATCACGGCGTAGGACAACATGATGCATGCAGGGGTCACTGTGTTCCTGTTGGTTTGGCCTCGTGAGAAATTCCTGTCTGAAGCCACAGTCTGTGAGCTTCCTTTCTGCTGAAGCATCTTTTGGTAACAACAGCCCTCCTCTCAGGACCATGCACTGGAAAAAATCTAAATAAGTCTTTTTCTTTTCATTAAAATGGCTGCAGTTGTTCAGGAATTGAGGAGGTAAGACCATTTGCTAATGGAAAAAGACAATTTACATTCATTTGAGTTTATTTCCAAAGCGCCAATCCACAACATGTCATCTCAAGGCTCTTTAGAGAGAGGAATCAACCAGATCATCAGTCAGATTGATTCAAAGTTTTCTATCTAAACCTTGGCATATGCTGGATGATTCACTCGAACGTTGTGGGCAAATCGCTCAGCGGGCAAACAAGGATTCTTCTTCTTTCTCTCAGATGTAAACCCAGAAGTATGGTGGGGGTGCAATGAGTGAAATGGAGTTCTTTCTGTGAAACTGTCAGACTGCAGTAGCCACTTTTACTCAGCCATGTCTTTGTCTGAATATCTCATCGCCTTTTCTTTTTAGGGCTTTCAGCACAAATTATCAAGGCAGAACGTTTCACTCTAGTGAGCTTCATATTCCTCTTCTACTGGTTTGGCTTCTACTGGTTTGGGGTATCTCCTCCCAGATCTGGACCAGGACATTACTGAGCTCCTGGACAGTCTGTGGTGCAACCTGGTGGCGTCGGATGGATGGAAACATAATGTCCCAGAGGTGTTCTATTGGATTTAGGATTTAGCAGTGGATCTGGGTCTAAAGCTGGACCTGAGAACTTTAGTGGCGCTCCAGCTTTAAGAGTTCTCCTGCTCTCTCTGTACTTCCCTCCATCTCTTTGCTGTCACCACTGATTCTCACTAGAATCTTTCCTCAAGTGAACATATTGTCCTGTTGATGATAACTGTAACATTTCTCCTACTTTGTAAGTCGCTTTGGATAAAAGCTTCTGCTAAATGCATAAATATTATTCCAGCCTAGAGCTTAACCCCTCAGGGTCTGAAGGTTTCTAATGTATTTGGTGAGACCAGGAATAATTTGGATTTCTAAGTTTGGCTTTAGGTTCTAGAGACGGTGAATTCATCCAGCTGGGAGACAGTGGCTCCTCACAGGGAGGAAACTAAGAGACTAACTAAATATTACTCAGCAAATTTTAAATAAATTCTCTCTAATTCACGGTGAAATAAAGGACACAGATCAGACTCACCATCATTTCCTGCCTGCCT